GAAGATCATGCTTGCCACAACCCAAGTCAGCATGAGGTTAGAGCAGGAAGATCATGCTTGCCACAACCCAAGTCAGCATGAGGTTAGAGCAGGAAGATCATGCTTGTGAAAACCCAAGTCAGCATGAGGTTAGAGCAGGAAGATCATGCTTGTGACAACCCAAGTCAGCATGAGGTTAGAGCAGGAAGATCATGCTTGCCACAACCCAAGTCAGCATGAGGTTAGAGCAGGAAGATCATGCTTGTCACAGATACTACTAGATCAGGGGTCCCCAAAAACTGTATCCCTCACATGAAATTTTGAACTCACTTTTATGTAGGTTCCACACTGCAGTGTCAACAAAATCGTGCGGCCCTCATCACACATTTGATCATCAGATGTGGCCCACTTGTGTAGGAAGGTTGGGGGCCACTGTGCTAGATCATTACGACCGAGTTAGGGAGCTTTGAAACTCAAAACGCAGATGTGGCCTACACGAGGTTCGCTAAGGTATTGACAAATGCGATCATGGAGCGCCAGGATGTAACCGAAAGATTAGAAAAATAAACATTGATTTTTTTGACTAATAGAACACAAATAGTGGTAGTAAACGAAGCAAAAACTAGCCTTAGCGAACTAAAACGTTCAGCACACCATTGCACGGTCTGGTGAATGTAGTTTCACTTCCTCGGAAAATGTATAGACAAAAACACTTGCTACAGCTTCCTGTCGTCCTTTGTAGACCATACTAAAATTAATATGGAAGTACCTGAGTAGACAACACGAAAAAATGTCAACAAAAGTCTACCAGTGGGCAGTGGAAAATGATATTCATTGGGGTCAAATTTCAACTGCTCAGATATGGAAAAAATGAAGAAAGTAAAGGAGCATTAGAGGCAAAACACAGAGGGACCATCTGAGAACGAAAGAAACTTGTACAAGATTTGGGTATAATGCTAAATGACCTGTTATTTAGATAACACAATAAGGCAATTACCAAGAAGGCAAGAAAAATGACAGGGTGGATAATGAGATATTTTAAAACTAGAACTAATGCCAACGGTGACATTATTGAAATCACTTGCCCACTCTTCGTTTAGAATATTGTTTGTGTTGACAGTTTCTTTCAATGCAGGAGAGAAATGGTAGTGATCCTTCACTGCCCGCGTAGAGCCAATGAGGCATTTACGTTACTGGGAACACCTCGAAGTACTGGAAATGCACTCTCTGGAGTTAAGACGAGAGATGCCTGATAATGGAAGGTATTAGAGAGCTGAGTCCTAAATAGAGATAAGGGAGTGTATAACAGACCTAGTGAAAAGTAGGGGGTGCACAATAAAAGAACCCTATATCAACATCCGTGGGCCCAAACTGTTTAACCTATCAGATATGAAAAACATCCCTGGAACAAGTGTAAAGGCTTCCAAGAGGAAAGTGGTTCGTATATACAAAAGCATCTTTTTCTATATGCGAAAAAATCTGTACGATCTTGCCTGTTTACGTGGTCTGCCTGCCTAACTTACCTTTTTGTGGTGTGCCTCTAGCAAGTCACATAGCAGTAGTGTGGCAGCAGGAGCAGCAGTTACCCCCAGGGAGCTCGAGTGCACGAGGGTGGTAGTGGTACGCTACAAATTACCTCTGGGAGACACACATTGTGTCCCGGGGATCGATGGAGTAAATTGACACCCACCTGCCAATTACCAAACCCACTCTAATCACTGCAAGGCACGGCTAATTGCCTACACTGGCGGGCCGCTCATTATTACCGGACATTGTTTCTTTGGTGGAGGGTATTGTATCACGAGGAAGATTGTAGCCTCCTATATATGGAGTGCAAGCTACGATGGAGTTTGTCGGGGGAAGAGAATGGTTGTCTCTTAGTTGTCGGTGAGAGGGATCTATATCCAGCGACTGTTGCTGTGGGTCTCTTTCAGAGTTGTGCCGGTGAAGGACTCTTGATTCAAGGACTTGAAACTACTCGCCGCTTCCTGCTATTCCTCAGGCGCTATATGTGTCCGTAGAATATAGCGACTTACAATAAAAAAATAATAGTGGAATTTTCAAATTTCGATACATGAGTGAGTCACGCAAGTTATACTAGATGTTCTGTGGGTGATTTTCGTAGGTTAGGACTGTCGTGATATTATGTCAAGTTTCGTGTATTAAGGTTGTCTTGGCACTAGAACTGTAACAAATGACACACATGAAGTCTTGTGTTAAAGTGTGAAGTCAAAATAGATGGCACACTCATAAAATAGTGAAACAGACTATTTCGATGCTTAAAGCATAGCACTTTAAGATAATCTTGGACGAACACTTTGCAAATTTGAATTAAATTTAAAGCGGTACAAGGAACCTTAGCTCTGAGACTATTCTCGTTGCACTTTTTCCAGTTTCTTGACAGGATCAGGTGGGGGTTCCAAATAGTGTGTTGTGTTGAAAGACTCTGGGATTTGCTTGTCGCACATTTGCTACGGAGGTTATTCTGATTCTAAGCTCACCCCAAGGTCCTCCATAATTTCGCATTTGCTGGGGTTTAATTTCTATAACCAGTTTTAAACAAATCCGCAGCTTCTCTAGGTCCTTTTGTAACTCCTCTACTTTTGTGTATATGTATACGTTAGGCTTACTCCTCTTATACCAGAAACATTGAAGATCTTAGTACTGATCCGGTTTTCACTTGCCCATTCTAACACCTCTTCATCTACAATCACACTGTTGCATTCCTTTTAGGCATGCCTTGGTCCATTGCAGTGCCTGTTATTCCTGCCTGCTCATCTAGCTTGTGTTCCCGTTTCTTACGAAGTACTGTATCAAAAGCCTTCTTATTGTCCAAAAATATGCAGTCCACCCATTTCTCTTCCTTGCTTTATTTCTGTTACTTTTTCGTAGAACTCAAGCAGATTTATGACAGGATATACCATCTCTAAACTGGGCTGGTTGTTATTTATGAACACTCTTTGTAGGTACTCCGCCACTCTTCCTGATTATCCTCTCCGTAACCTTACATACTATGCATGTCAGTGACATTGACTTGAAGATTAAGTCTACTCCTTTGTCTCTTTTTTTTAATATTGGAACTCCTGTATGAAGATTTTAGTTAGAGGTACACACTGCTCCTCCTCCCCCCCCCCCTTTGCAGGACCCATGAAGAGAGATTTCCCCATTGCATTCGAGTTATCTAAGTCAGTAGTTTCTTCACCTCTTCTGCTGTGTGTATTGTGTCCTGTACTATAAATACCCTATCGTTTTTTACTCTTTGGTAATGTCCCTGTTTCCTCCGAGAAAACCTCCTCGAAGAGTTCCTGATCATTTCTCTTGAGCTCTCTTTCCTTCAGTCTTATTTACCTAGTTCTCTTCTGTTGTCGTCTGATGTGACTGCATTGACATTTGAGATGTTGCCTCTCTTCTTACCTGTGCATGTTCATTACTGACTTTTCTACTTGTTTCAAGACAAGAGAGTTTAGGTTAAGACCCTTGTGAGGTGAGCGGAGAAGCGGGGATAGGGGAAGAATATATTGGTGAAAGGGAGGTTATAAGTGATAGAGATAGTACCAGGGCATGCTTGTTTCGCTATTTTCTGCTGTTCATTCTTTCCTGCATTTTTTCCATGCTCTTGCAGTTTAGCTTTGCCTTTATCCTGGATGAACTATATGCTCACTCTTCATACTGTTGCTTCTTCCGCTACTGGATGTGAATATCTCCTCTGCCTTCCGGCACTTTCCAGCTACAAACTCCATTTCACTTGTCTTTCCTTCCAATTCCCTTTCCCCACTGCACTGAGTTCAAACATTCTCTCATTCCTGTGTAGTCTTTTGTTTTGACATACGGTTTTTCCCTTCTTTCCCATGCTAAGTTTCTCTCCATGTTTGTTGCCATATGATATTCAGAACTATACTGTGTGATTGCTAGCACACAGGGACCACTCATAATCTATTTTAAACATATCAGATTTGCTTAGAGTGAATACTAGATCCAGTCTTGTTGGTTCATCCCCCTTCTCTCTGGGTGTGTCCCTGACATACTGGTACATAAAATTTCCCATCAACACCTCCGTCATCTTATTACCCCCAATATTTTCAATACCCATGAGAATTCAAGTTCTCTAATCTGTTCCTTGTGATTTAAATCTGCCATGATTGCTTGCTTTTCATAGGTCATGGGGGCTATTATCGCCCCCTATGATGTGCACCATTATTTTGTTGTTATATTTTTGTCTTGGTCTCTTGCTGTTTAATGGTGAGTTGTGCATTACTGCTGTCACTACCTATAGTCTCCCAGTTTTGAATGTGCCTAAGTAGTCATTGACTTCTGTGTATTCCTCTCGCCTCCTCAAAACTCCATTGGATCCTGATTAGCAGTGATATCTGGGGACGCCCCTGCTATTAAATAATTCCATTCCTAACCTGTTTATACTGTTTGCATTTGTATACCACACTTTATTTCCTTTCTCTTACTTGGTTCCGATTAAAACCATACCCCCGGCCGGGATTGAACCCGCGGTCATAGTTGGATGAATCTTATTGTGGCTAGCTGGTCTAGTGGCTAACGCGACGGGCTGGAGTTTTGAGACTATGACCGCGGGTTCAATCCCGGCCGGGGGTATGGTTTGTTTGCAATCGTGTCATTACGATTTCTTGAGTTTGGTTCCGATTCTTGGTGTCCTGGTTTTCCTTGCCATTGTTCATGGGTAAGTAGTGGGGAAGGGGGAGGAGTTAGGTAATGGATAGATGGATGATATGTGTGTGTGTGTATGTGTGTGGTTGAGGGTGTGTGTGTGTGTGTGTGTGTGTGTGTGTGTGTGGGTGTGGGTGTGTGTGTGTGGTGGGGTGGGTGTACACGTGGGTACACGTGTACTGCGCGTGTGTGCTGGTGCTTATGCAAATGTTGACATATCCTAATGTTAACTTTGATGTTTATTGTGTGTTGCTAAAGTTTGTGTTTTGGCTTTGACTTTGTGGGGATTGTTTTATTTTGATTCTGTTAATACTTGGTAATATGTTTGTGTTTGTGTTTTGCAGCGCCTTGGACAAGATCATCGTGCAGGGATACAAGGCCCTCCAGCTCATGTACTTCTTTACAGCCGGACCCGACGAATGTAAAGCATGGACCATACAGGTGACCTACCAGTTTTCTCTATCTCGCCAAAAATATTCTTTATCTTCTGTACTGTTGAATATGTATTATTCACATATAAAGTATTAACCATATAGTCATTGTATGGTTAGTTCATATATGTAGTGTGTGTGTATGCATTTCCTCTTTTTTTTTTTTAGTGGTGCAGTAGAAGAGAGCGACCCCTCATGTTGGCAGGTGCCAAGGTCTGCGAAGTTAACCACAATTTTTTTATAACAGTCTATAAAAAGCATCAGCAGTTCCGGTGACCAACGAAAGGTTTTTTTTTTTTTTAACCCAACCATCAGCAGTCCTAGTGACAGATTTACCTCTTGTCCCCTCAAAACCAGAGCCAAATGCGAAAAATCATAATGAGCAACTGCCGAAGAATAAACAAATGAATTTATGCAGAGCTTGAATGCAAGACCTTGGTTCAGTTCCCCTTTCATTTCTCTGTTAGTGAAGAGTCATTCATTACCACTATAGTTTATAGACTATTTCGCTTTTTAAGTGGTGTGAAAATAGGCGTACAATGAAAGGTGTGGTATAACAGCATTTACAGGTGGTGGTGGCTGGTGCAACCATATCACAGAAGTAATGGCTACACAGTAATATTATCCTATTGTAATCTGTCAGGCAACACATGTGGACCAGAGTTCAAGATACTGCTGTGTGTGTGTGTGTGTGTGTACTCACCTAGTTAGTACTCACCTTTTGTGTGTGTATATATTATATATATATATATATATATATATATATATATATATATATAGAGAGAGTGGGTGAGATGTTATCAACAAATTTTGTTGAAAATAAGAAAAAGTTTTGGAGTGAGATTAACAAGTTAAGGAAGCCTAGAGAAATGGATTTGTCAGTTAAAAATAGGAGAGGAGAGTTATTAAATGGAGAGTTAGAGGTATTGGGAAGATGGAGGGAATATTTTGAGGAATTGTTAAATGTTGATGAAGATAGGGAAGCTGTGATTTCGTGTATAAGGCAAGGAGGAATAACATCTTGTAGGAGTGAGGAAGAGCCAGTTGTGAGTGTGGGGGAAGTTCGTGAGGCAGTAGGTAAAATGAAAGGGGGTAAGGCAGCCGGGATTGATGGGATAAAGATAGAAATGTTAAAAGCAGGTGGGGATATAGTTTTGGAGTGGTTGGTGCAATTATTTAATAAATGCATGGAAGAGGGTAAGGTACCTAGGGATTGGCAGAGAGCATACATAGTTCCTTTGTATAAAGGCAAAGGGGACAAAAGAGAGTGCAAAAATTATAGGGGGGTAAATCTGTTGAGTATACCTGGTCAAGTGTATGGTAGAATTATTATTGAAAGAATTAAGAGTAAGACGGAGAATAGGATAGCAGATGAACAAGGAGGCTTTAGGAAAGGTAGGGGGTGTGTGGACCAGGTGTTTACAGTGAAACATATAAGTGAACAGTATTTAGATAAGGCAAAGAGGTCTTTGTGGCATTTATGGATTTGGAAAAGGCGTATGACAGGGTGGATAGGGGGGCAATGTGGCAGATGTTGCAGGTGTATGGTGTAGGAGGTAGGTTACTGAAAGCAGTGAAGAGTTTTTACGAGGATAGTGAGGCTCAAGTTAGAGTATGTAGGAAAGAGGGAAATTATTTCCCAGTAAAAGTAGGCCTTAGACAAGGATGTGTGAAGTCACCGTGGTTGTTTAATATATTTATAGATGGGGTTGTAAGAGAAGTAAATGCGAGGGTCTTGGCAAGCGGCGTGGAGTTAAAAGATAAAGAATCACACATAAAGTGGGAGTTGTCACAGTTGCTCTTTGCTGATGACACTGTGCTCGTGGGAGATTCTGAAGAGAAGTTGCAGAGATTGGTGGATGAATTTGGTAGGGTGTGCAAAAGAAGAAAATTAAAAGTGAATACAGGAAAGAGTAAGGTTATGAGGATAACAAAAAGATTAGGTGATGAAAGATTGGATATCAGATTGGAGGGAGAGAGTGTGGGGGAGGTGAATGTATTCAGATATTTGGGAGTGGACGTGTCAGCGGATGGGTCTATGAAAGATGAGGTGAATCATAGAATTGATGAGGGGAAAAGGGTGAGCGGTGCACTGAGGAGTCTTTGGAGACAAAGAACTTTGTCCTTGGAGGCAAAGAGGGGAATCTATGAGAGTATAGTTTTACCAACGCTCTTATATGGGTGTGAAGCATGGGTGATGAATGTTGCAGCGAGGAGAAGGCTGGAGGCAGTGGAGATGTCATGTCTGAGGGCAATGTGTGGTGTGAATATAATGCAGAGAATTCGTAGTTTGGAAGTTAGGAGGAGGTGCGGGATTCCCAAAACTGTTGTCCAGAGGGCTGAAGAAGGGTTGTTGAGGTGGTTCAAACATGTAGAGAGAATGGAGCGAAACAGAGTGACTTCAAGAGTGTATCAGTCTGTAGTGGAAGGAAGGTGGGGTAGGGGTCGGCCTAGGAAAGGTTGGAGGGAGGGGGTAAAGGAGGTTTTGTGTGCGAGGGGCTTGGACTTCCAGCAGGCATGCGTGAGCGTGTTTGATAGGAGTGGAGACAAATGGTTTGTAATACTTGACGTGCTGTTGGAGTGTGAGCAAAGTAACATTTACGAAGGGGTTCAGGGAAACCGGCAGATCGGACTTGAGTCCTGGAGATGGGAAGTACAGTGCCTGCACTCTGAAGGAGGGGTGTTAATGTTGCAGTTTAAAAACTGTAGTGTAAAGCACCCTTCTGGCAAGACAGTGATGGAGTGAATGATGGTGAAAGTTTTTCTTCTTCGGGCCACCCTGCCTTGGTGGGAATCGGCCAGTGTGGTAATAAAATATATATATATATATATATATATATATATATATATTATATATATATATATATATATTATATATATATATTATATATATATATATGGTTGTATATTATATATATATATATATATATATATATTATTATATATTATTAATTATATTATATTATATATATATATATATAATATATATAATATATATATATATATATGCAATAAGATCACAGTAAACAGGTGATTTCAGAATATGTAAAACAACCACTCTGAAAGAATAGAGAAATTCCAAGCGCTTTCGTGACTACTCACATTACCTGGATACCTGGAGGTTATTCCGGGGATCAACGCCCCCGCGGCCCGGTCCACGACCAGGCCCCCGATGGATCAGGGCCTGATCAACTAGGCTGTTACTGCTGGCCGCACGCAGTCCGACGTACGAGCCACAGCCCGGCTGATCCGGCACTGACTTTAGGTATCTGTCCAGCTCTCTCATTATCAAGGAATTATGAAAGTAAAGCATCCAAGGAAGCTATATAAGGGGTCTGGCCAGTACCTCACTATCAGATCAGGTGTTTAACCGTTGTGGGATCTGATAGTGAGGTACTGGCCAGACCCCTTATATAGCTTCCTTGGATGCTTTACTTTCATAGTTCCTTGATAATGTGAGTAGTCACGAAAGCACTTGGAATTTCTCTATTCTTTCAGAGTGGTTGTTTTGCATATATATATATATATATATTATATATATATATATATATATATATATATATATTATATATTATATATATATATATATATATATATATATTACAAGCAGTACTTGCTTGTCAATTTATATCTCACATCCTACAGAAAGGTACCAAAGCGCCCCAGGCAGCCGGTAAGATCCACACCGATTTTGAGAAAGGTTTTGTTATGGCAGAAGTTATGAAATTCGACGACTTCAAAGAGGAAGGTTCTGAAGCAGCCTGCAAGGCAAGTCTCGTTGAGTCACCCATGACAGTTGTGCCGTATGAAACCGTGTTCTCTCTTGTACGTTTTCTTCACTCAGGCTGGCATGTTAGGGTAAACATTTGTAACTTTATTTAGCCCTCATAATTTGCAACTTCCACTGATTTTAGTAAGTTTATTTAGGTACAGGTCCTCATAAATACAGTTATCATATATAGTAACATGTGTATAAATTACTTACGGTAACCCCAAAAAAAGTCAAAGTGTCTTATTTGCTTTATAAATTATAAAAAATTCAACCTTTATTTAACACCATAATGGAAATAAATCACTTTATCTGACTTTCTTGGGTTATCCTTGGTTCTTTACACACATGCTGCTATGTATGATAATCATTGTAACTGTGTATGCCTAAATAAACTTACTTATAATGCCAGTGATATTAATAAAAATCAGTCAACACAAAAATTAACATATCGTATAAAAAAAATGGTATGAATACAGTATTTTAATTAAAAAAAAAATCACCATCCTTCCTTTTTACAGTTTCATTCATTGGGTATTCCTTGGCTCTATTCCTAAGTGTTTTTTTTATGCTAAGACTGACCTTGACATGATCAGGTAATCTACTTCATTCCTTTATTGTTGTGTAATAGTTGTTTGAGGTCTGGCCACTTTCTGTGGGTGCTACAAAATTGTGTTCACTTGCCCTAGTACCATACTGGCTTTGATTTCTAACCTCTACAAAATTTGCAGCAAGATATTTATCACACTGGTTGCTAGCAGTTTTGTGCACCTAGTTTGGTTTGACCTGCTTTACTCAGCCACTTTCAGCATTTCTAGTTTTTGTCCTGTCTAATTTTGCATTTGTAGTTTTTTTTAGTTTGTGTTAAGTCAGATTACCAAGAAGAACAAAAATAGTCTACATGGTATTTTATAATAGATGCAAGTGCTTGAATGCCTGAACAGGTAGGCACCACACCTGTCTACAATTTATACCTGACATTTGCTTGTACATTTTTCACTATCATTTCACCTAACACATACACGGATCAAAGAATATTCTTAGGTATTGCACTGTAATTACTGTCGAGATGGGTTTCTCGTTACATATTTATTTTTTATTTTAGTTTTTTAACACGCTCCAGGACTTGAGTCCAGCAAACTGGTTTCCCACAAATCCCTTCACAAAATATTACTCTGCTCACACTCCAACAGCTCATTTAAATAACAATAGATAATGAGAAATACTCTTATATCAAAATTGAAAGTAACAACCCATTTTTTTTTTTCAGGCTGCTGGAAAATACCACCAACGAGGCCGCAACTATATAGTAGAAGATGGCGACATTATATTCTTCAAATTCAATACTGGTGGCCTCAAGAAGAAATGAGATAGAGCATTGCTAGTGCTTCTGGTGGTATTTTATGTCCAAATGGTTGCAGTGTTTATTTGCACACATTTGTGATCTCCCAAGTAAACTCTTCTTCAGCATAACTTGTCAGTCTTTCATTATCCACATCCCCTTGAAATTTCATTACACTTCTCAAAATCTTTTTGAGTTGAATTACCTATAAACAACTTGTTCATTTTTATCACAAATTGTAAGAAATATCTAGTAATGAATAAGTTGAAATTTGTATAACTTTTGTGGTATTTTTTTTATAATACTCCCCTTCCTCTAGCATTTTTCTTATTTTTAAGTGGTTTCTGACATGATCTCTGTGGCACCCCCACTCATTACTCTCTCATACAGATATATCTCACAGTTAATCTCTGCCTTCTGGTAATCCCTGACCCACTTGAGCTCTGCCTTTTAACTCTGTTTGTTCCTCTAATTTCTGGATTTATCTCTGAATATGTTTACAAGAGTGCACACATTTAGTCAAGTGTACAAATACACATTGAAACATTTTAGTGGGTGAACTGTTTTAAGTTACTTTTATGAGGAAGGGTAATAAATGTCCTATTAATTTATTTTAATATTTTTGTAACAGACTATATTAAACTGACAGGATTAAAAATATGGATATGTAATGGTCACCAGAACATTAGCAATCTCTGACGTATATTAACTGTTGTATACAATAAAACCTCTATATAACAGACACATTGGAGGAGCAGGCAGCTGGTAATGGCAGCTGTAGTGGAGAGAGAAAAAATTGCCAGGTCATGATTTTAAAAATAATGGACAGTTTTATAACCAACAGACTTCATCCATTGTTTTCAGATCAACTGACCTAGTGGATATTGTTCCATATTTCCAGTCTCTTGTATGGAGGTCTGTTATATGAAGAGTTTGCTGTATATACAGTACATGTATGCAAAATGTGTGTGTTTGTATATGGCTGTGTGTGTGTGTGTGTGTGTGTGTATGTATGTGTATATGCAGTCTTGTGTGTTCTGATTTGTATAGTCCAATTGAGCACACTTAAAACAGACATTTCATAGCTAGAAGCTTTTCAGAACTTTCAGTGCTTGCACCAAAATGTTTACAGTATGCATTAAGAAAAAAAAAACTCACCAGTGCCTGTAATAGTTTGTTCTCCTCATAACATGTATGCATGCAATACACTAAACACACTGGGGTTGGCTAAGTGTGGACCTGTGTGTTATATGCTGGAGTTGATGCTGATCAGAATATTCAAGTTGCAGAAATAGCATGTTTTGCTGTCAATTATAACATTAGGCTGAAAATTCTGTATTTGCTCTTCTATTTTGATACATGGGGTGTAAATGATTTAGGCATCATCTGGGAAAACTCATTAGATCTACACATGTAAAGGACTAATTTTGACTAATTTTATGACTTTTTAACATATTATGCCTTGCATACCATTAATGTGATGTTGCAGCTGACTAACCTTATGTCTCCTTAATTAAAAAGTATATTACTCGGCCAACTACATTAATATTGTTTTAATTTTGCAAGTTATTCAAGTTTTACAATACAGGAATGCTTTTAATATAAGTCTTATTTTTTGTCTTTTGGTTTATTTCCTATTTTTCTTATTAGGTGAATAGTATCCCTATTCTCTGTCCGTGTGATTTCTGCACTAGAGTGAGATCTGCTCTCCTGTGAATTCTCAGTTTAACAGACTAGCAGGGAAGAGTAAGTGGCAATTGTAGTGGAGAGAGGGGTGGTTATGTTATTCGGACTGTATCAATAACGGGCAAATCTGTAACCAACAAACTTCATCCGTTGTGTCAAGATCAGTTGACCCAGTGAGTTTTACTCTATTTCCAAAGTCTGTTAAATTTAGGGCTTTCTGTATTACTGCTTAAAGCAAATCTTTCGTATATTTCCTATAATTTCCTGCTCTTTTACTCCCTCTGTACTTTTAATTGCATTTTATATCTAAGTTTTATGCTGCATCTCATATTTATAGTTTTTAATTTTATCTTACATTTTATCTCTAATTTTTAACCTGTGTTATCCATTATTTTATTTTTTGTCAGTTTCCTACTACTACAATAGATTAATTGATCAAGAAGTCTGGCTCAAAAGTCCTCTTGAAACCTGTCACAGGCATGTGACGGGTAACAATTATGACTCATTAAGCTTTATGATGCAACTTTGTCCTGGACCTCCGATGTGACCTGGACTGCTTGATCAAGCTGGTCTGCATCTCTACCTTCTTGCTTGAAGTCAAGGCTCTCTTTTCTGGTAGACAGTTAAAGTAAATGTTCAGAGTACACTTATGTAATGCACCACGATTCATGTATTGTATATAAATGCTTGTCACCATCCAACATTTTGACTTGGCCCGTTCCTCATATCTGCAGTCCTTAATTTTATGTTGTGTAGTATCTGCACATTATTATATGCACAGTATATTCTACCTATTCTTTGCATATAGTATATACACAGTATATTCTACCATTTCCAGTCTATTTTTTTTTTTTGTTACTGGAAAGGGATTTTTTTATTTTTAATTTCATTGTGGTATTTGATATTATAATAAAAAATCTTCCTCTGTTCCACCCACAGCAGACACTGGGCTGGAATTTTTTTTTTCCTTTTTCTTTACAACATAATAAAAGTAGCTTGACATGTAGTATTTCAATGAAATTTGATGTAAACAACAGGCTAAGACAATGCATTATGGGTTTAAAATTTAGAGTATACAGTACAGTAGATTCCCAAGTTACGCTGTTAGGCGAATATTCAGTACGGAACCTATTATCCCATAAAGAACAATGTAAAATGGATTAACCTTTTACTTGACAGGCCAGTATATTTATTGGCCTGCTAAAGGAGGCCAATAAGTACAGTAGCCTGCCCAGTAAAGGGTTGGTTTGCGAGCTCTAATTTTCCGGATCTAATTTCAGTTAATTTTTTGACCCAAGCTTTTTTTACCTTCAATATACTTTTTCAAATGCATGATATATATACAGCATATAAATAACACAAAACCCCTCAAAGGTGGTGCCTTTATGTTGGTGAGAGGGCTCATGATCGAAGGCATGAACTTGTTCTCCCCTTTTTTGGATTGAACCTGAATGCCCTCCATTTTTCCTAAATGCTATATAACCCCTATGGGTTTTGCACTTCCCCAAAAGTATAATAATGCATTATTGATAAAGCAAAAATATAAATATTTAACCACATTCTGCACAGTACCTATCTTGAATGCTGATCGTAGCTTGCTCACCAAAAGAGATTCACAATCTATATTTACAAGAGGAACCTTGTGATGATATTTCGGTCAGTCCAGGATCACTGTCTAGTCACAGATGTGAATCATTTGGAAAGTGTTCCAACCATGGTATTGTGACACTATTATTCACTGGAAGGAGTGTTTCTTGCTTATTCTAGACAAGAATAAACCATCATGAGTAGTTCCACTGCTGGAAGCAAGAGTCAAAATGCCACTGTAGAAAGTGTGAAATGCTGTAACTTGAAATATTGTAAGTCAGGGCTCTACTGTATTGTATTTTTTTTTTTCATGGAAGGCTTGCTCTGGATACCAAAATCAACAATTCATAATGCTTTCAATCCTTAAAAGAATTAAGAGGAAACTAATTTATCTTATTCATTAAATTTAAAATTGTATTTTAACATGACTATTTTACTGGTGGGTGGCAATTATGTATCTGCAAAGTATAAAATAAAGAAAGGTCCCTCACTGTTCTCCGTGTCTACCATCACCCACGCACATCTGTAATTGCCACAATGGAAGTGGACCCCATACACAGATTCAAATATTAGTCCATATGACAAGGTGTTTTCATATCAATAGGTCAAGAGTTAAGAGGCAGGTCCAAGTACCAGATCTCACCCTCTCCAAACTCATACATAATTATAAGGAGGTGCTACCCCAACACGAGAAAACACTTCCCCGACACAATGAGACATGCTTCCCAGTGTGTGAATAAGTCTGGGGAAAGGGAGGGAGAGTCGAGTGTGTTCAGGATTTGGCATTTACCGATGCACCTCATTGTACAATGGTTCGACTTACAATATTTCAAATTTACGATGGCATAAAACTTTTTTTTTTTTTTTTTTTTTTTTTTTACTGTACATTTATTGATAGGATAAACTTGTATTCATTTATTTACTGTTCCATACTGTTTAGTTACAGTAATTATTTGTTTATTTACTTATTCAGTGATAGTAGTTATTTATTTATCGTTCATATTCAACTTACAATATTTTCAACTTATTATAGGTTCATTGGAACATAACCCCATTGTAAGCAGAGGAGCACCTGTCCTGTACTGGAGGAATAATTGCAGAGGAGATTAGGCATTAATGATAGTGGATAGCATGTTTATTGGACAGACAACATATCACTCTTAAGGTTCGCTCTGCACAGTCTTGTTACCACATTTCTTGGCAAGTCTTGGCATCCAGTCAGCCATTTACTGTAAGTGAATGATTGTTGACAGTTTTATTCTAGAACTTTTTTTAATTTTAGTATTGAATTTTTACCTATGTTTTCCTGGTGTCATTAGTAATTTTTGTCTCGTATACAGTATACAGTGGACCCTCGACCAACGATATTAATCCATTCCAGAGAGCTTGTCGTTAGTTGAATTAATTTTCCCCATAAGAAATTATGGAAATCCAATTAATCTGTTCCAGACACTTAAAAGTATGAAAAAAAAAAATTTCACATGAGATATACATTTTCCTACACATAAAAAGGATACATGCACAATAAATACTGTACTGTACTAAATGAAGAATAAATGACACTTTACCTTTATTGAAGATGTAGTGATGAGATGGGAGGAGGGGAGATGGAGGTGTATTAATTTGGGAACACCTTGAGAGTTACTGGACCTCTGTCACACCAAAAATCTGTCCATTGAGCTCTTCCAGAACAGGCCTGGTTCGTCACAATTGAACACTTGTTGGGGTTGGGATTTTTCAGCTTTGCCATGCCTTATTACACTGTGTATGCCACTACGATTCTTAAATCTCAAACTAACCTTTGCTGGCCTTATATTCACCAATATGAGCACTAGTTCCAGGCATTTTTTTGTGTTCA